TACCACTGGTAAGACTGTGCCGCTATGAAGAGTAAAGGCAGAAATATATACTTATTCGATGTGGATTTTCTTCCAGATTCCCTCTCGACTGAGGATTTTCGCCATCACAAACAGGAGAATCGACCTACTTGCCCAAGTAAACAATATTTACATAAAAGCATTTACACACAGAGGGCACACATCTGTATCATTTTCAGAAACAAACACTGTAATCTTCACTTCCATATAATATTTAGCATCATGGCAATGGGAACTTTTTCTGCATGTCTTTATACTAAATTTGTGGGATCTGCGGCACGCCGGGAGTGATTTGTAATTGCTTTGGTGAATAATCACATGAAACACCCACTTGCATACAAGGCCCTCCCCTGTCTCTGGTATGAGCAGTTTCAATGTAGCACAGGCAGCCACTGCTGTGCTATGTTATAGTAACCACAGGGCCATGCTATTGCATGTGCCCGGCTGCCTTTCTTTCTACCCCTAAAGGACTGCTGGTCTTTCAAAGTAAAAGTAGGAATGAGACCTGTACATGCAGACTCCACATTGTAATGCTATGAAGATTATTAGATTGGAAGATTCACATTCGCTGTGGAGATGTGGCAGTTTCAGCTCTGATGGTCTGTTTGGGTAAATTAATGTTATCTCTAGAGACAGGAACCTAGAAGATTGAGCAGCTAAAACACAGAACACAATACATCTATTTCTTTATCTATTTATTGCAATAAATAGATGTATTGTGTTCTGTGTTTTAGCAGCTCGACCTTCTCGGTTCCTGATATGATTCTCAGGTTGGGTTTTCCCCCCTTTTGCTTTTTTGTCTACAGTGACAGCCATCATTTCAGCTCATTACCTTCTACTACTTTCCTGAAAAATAAATGATCAGCCAGTATGACCAAAAATCTAGCAGTGACTCTGCTACAGTTCCTACTAGTGTTCCCTCTAAGCTGCACTAGGGGGCGCTGGTGCACAACATTTTAGCTAGCTGCTCAGAGAATTTAGCTTTCAGCTCAGGAGCATTTTCCCCCTCAATGGATGGAGGCACCACCTTCTGGGGCCCATAGAATTGGACCCCCTGGTCCAATCTTTTCAAAACTTGGAGGGTTTTTTGAGGAGAGGCACCAGCAGCTATGCTGCACATTTGGTGCTGCTACCTCAAAAAACAGTTGTCGTCCCAGAAACCCAGATCCCCCTGGATCAATTCTCCATTATAACCTACGGGGCCCATTGGCTATAACAGTCCCCATAGGCTATAATGGAGCAGGAAAAATAGATTTATTTTTTTTGCACACTGCTATTATGTTATGTGCGCCTCAGTGTTTAGTCATGCCAGCTACATGACAATGGAAACGTCTTCGGACAGCACTGGATCCTCGGCTTGGAAACGGAGATGAGCACCACCCCCTAGAGTCGGATTCAACTAGCACTCAACCAAGGGAAACCTTTACCTTTATTATGCCTTTCAGTATGATTTGTAAGATGCCTTGAGTCACATTAAAACTGGGATATAAATATTTGAATAAATAACTAGTTTGGGCAGGTTGATAACATTTAAGCAACTTCTTGTTTGTTAGGTTAGGCAGGGTTCTGGCAGTGATTGTTCCTCCTCTATTATACTTGACCTGTAAATTTGTCATATTTCACTAAAAAAAAAAACCAAAGTAGACTGCAAGTGTCCCCCCTCCCCCCCAAGTGCTGGTATGTTTTCTAAGGCTCAGTCCAGGATGACGGTTCGAGGCCAGGTCTACAAATATCATGGACTGGGATGGGTAACTTGTTATCTGGAGGCCAGGTCTACCAATATAGTGGAAAGGGGTAGGTAGACCTGTTCTCTGGGGGCCTGGCCTACCCCCGTAGAGGACAATATTTTCTGTAATGAAATTTGACTTGATTATGTTTTCTCTTATGATGTTTAAATTATTGTTAAAATATCATTTAAATATAGTTGGAAATAATTCATTCTGAGATTTTTACAAGGCTATGGAAATAATCTAAGAAACTAATTTATGTGATAGTCAAATATAGTCAACTTTAATGCTACTAGCTTTTTTTGCTCACGAGGTAGAATTTTTGCTCACAACACTGCGGAGCTTAGAGGGAACATTAGTTCCTACAGGTTTTTCTTTTGGACCAGCTGCCTCTAGATACTGTAATGTAAAGCCTCTTTGGGCAGATTTCCTGGAGAAGTGCATAATGAGGCTGCATGGATATTTCTAAATAAATAGCATTACAAATGCTTTAAAAGTTTTAAAGTGGACCAGTGGCCTGCGCATACACTAGTCATTCCATGTGTACAGATATACACTTTTCTACTATCTCAAGACAAGATGGGCTATGAAATGCTATGATGGTGATTGGGAAGTAATTTCATTTCCTGCCATGGACATGGAAGCAGGAACTCTAGATAGAAAATGATAGCTGGATTTACTGGATTTCAGGAGTCCACTGCAGCTCCTCAAAAAAAGTGAGTGGGCAAGAACAGCTGAAAGATGCTGCAAGAAATAAAGGCCAATAGCTGTAGGAATGTGGGGGTCATTTTCTGAAGCTTTAAGGAGTCTGTGCATGTTTGAACTGTCCCAAATGGTTTTCCTGATTACTTGTCTTCACTGTGTCAAATTTAAATGATGCCATCAGTTTGTGGCTGGGGATTCACCTCTATCATAACCCTCCCAGAAGAGAGGCTGAACTGTATCTCCAAAATGTCTACAGTAGAAGGGAGGAAATCATGTCAATTAGTGCCTTGTCTTCATTCAGGAGCCATCAACTTGTGACTGAAGTTTCCCACCATTGTAACAAAATAAGGGCTCTTCAGTATACTGTCATGAGAAGGAATCATACATACCAGGCTTTCCTCAGCTGGGATTCTACAGTAGGATGAACAGCCTTTCTATATTCCCCTTCCCTTCTAAGGACATCTGAGTAGGGCTTTTCTGCTTGTTCCAGGCACAACCCCTCTCCAATTCTCCTTGTATACAGTGCCAGTGTTGCTGCCTTTGGGGGCCCAGCATCTGCAGGACTTTGCTCCCACCCTGCACTGGGTATTCCCAATGGTGCACATGGACAATATTATTTCTAAGTCAGGCAGGGCTTCAGTGGGGAGCAGGCGGAAGTCCAGCCACCATCACAACATCAACATATATATTCCTTAAAAAGACACAGACAAGTGGACTTGCACCTCCCCAATAACACCAAAGCCTTTCCTTCCTGTTCTTGCACAAACAAGCTCTGTTCACAAGTCACTTACTGTAGCAGCTTTCGCAAGCTCGTCCTGCTCCCATGTTCTGTGCCTGAGCTCCTGTACCATTTACCATTCCAGGCTTCACATTTACATTAATCTTGTTGGGGTTTGGCTTGTTACTTCACACAAAACAAAAAGGGGGAGATTAATTAGATGACTATGACATGAAACATTACTGCAAGCATAATAAAGAAAGCTTGAATAGCTCCCAGGTCTATTGATTCTAAAACAAACAGATTTCACTAACCAGGAAGAAAAAAGTCCTATATTCATTATTACACTTCTCTCTCACACAAACACACATTGTGACAGCAGGTGGGGTGATGCACTAGCCTCTAGACAGCAACAAGACCATAGAAAATCATGGCTGGTGTGTCCAGTGTGTTGTGATCAGGATGGAGTCCCTCTCTATGTCTCCCTAAGACCTTGATGATGAGGGGGATAGGAGGAAACACACAGAACAGCATCCTGTCCATATCTGTCTCCTATGGACTGGTGACTTCTTCCCTCTAGAGCAGAAACATCTGCATTTCTGATCACTGTGGAGGACCACATCCAGAAGAAGCCAATGGCGGAATACAGGTGATAAGTGGTTCACAAGTATGTGAGGCCCACTTGTGAACCACTAAACATCGTGGGCCTCTGCATGGATGATCTCTTCCCTTGCAACATGGGTAGCAACGTTGGTCAGTGTATCTCTCCCACAGGCACCAGGCTACATTGTTTAGAGTGTCTGATGCTGTTCCATTTTGCTTGTTTATATAGTACATGGTGGTTGTGTTATCAACTCTACTAAGACAGTTGAAGTCAACAGGTTTAGAAGGGTGTACTCGGCTTAGCATGGCTCTATAAAGCACTGGTTTCCAGATTTTTATTTTTATTTTAAATCTAATTTCACACCTCTATGCTGGTTTGACTGTCTTAAAAGAATTCTGGCAGGGATAACGTAACAAAAATGTTCCTAGTGAGGCTTGGGATTCAATTTGGATTAACCCATCATAAACACCATTAATATTGGTGATAAACACCATTAATACTGGTGGACTTAAAGGACGCTTTTAGCAAAGATACAATGTTATTGGTATTTCATAGCATAATTCCTGTTGGAAATTTGTAATACAACCTGAAACAAATTCACACCCTTCTAAAACTATTGACTTTGATGGCTTTAGAAGGGTCCATTTAGGACTGCACTATTATTCTAGCTCTTTAGATATGTGCTGGAGGTATAAAACCAATAAAGCTGATCTTATCAACGTCTTTTGAAGTTGCCCAAGGATCAGAAGTTATGGTCACAGGAGAGATTATAGTATGACTATCTTTGAATCTTAAAGAAATATCACTATACTATTTCTAAACAAATGCTCATGTTCTGGAATAATGAAGTTCAGGATAAGGTTGTACATTATGTATGTTGCTGTTAGATATAATTCGTTGTTGTCCTGATATGTATATTCATTCTGTATTTTAAATCTGTACTAATTGGTATTTATATAGTACATTTTCTGTGTTGCAGATGGATTTCCTTAGGGATGGCGGTGATTTGAAGGCTTGTCCAAGTGACAAGTGGGCATTTTAAAAACATTTTTCAACATTGTTGGACTGTTAAATTTTAGTAGATTTTAAAATACTTCATTGTGTTGCACTTTTAATAATTCCGTCGTAATCAGCAGCCTCATAAACCCATATGGTAAAGAATGTGTCATAAAACATTTTAATTAAAGGGAAATGAATAAACAAGGGGATGAGAGAGATTAGCTATCACAGCTTTGTATTCCTCAAAGAGCTATACCAACATTAGTCACTTCTTCCTGCACTAACTTGACTGCAAACACCACTCCCAATTATGTCACCTCTTACCTTGGGATTGAATGGAAGCTATTCGGTTATACAAGAGAAAGTACAGCTTGGGACTCTACCATGGCAGTGGTAAAAGTTGTCCCTTTCTGCTCCCAACATATGATGGGGAACCTCCCTTGCAGGGGACCGTAAGCTCACGACCAACTTACCAATGTATCTCCAATTCTGAATGTTTGTTTATATATTTTATTAGACTTATATCTCACTCTATTCCAGGGCAGCTTACAACAATCAAGATATAATACTTCAGCATATTACAATTTTAAAATCCACGTTATTATAAGTTAAAACCTAAGACTTCTTTACTACATCAGATGCTTGGGGGGGGGTCAACAGTAGGAGGGCTTCTAATGTCCACACTGGTGGCAATGTTCCCTCTAAGCTGTGGAGTCTTGTGAGCAAAAATTCTACTTTGTGAGCTACTGGCATTAAAGTTATGAGCAAGCAATCTGGCTCCTGCATAAACTAGTTTGCTCTGGAGCCCTCCTTCCTGAGCTGAGACAAAAATGTGTGAGAAAGCGGCTAAAAAACTGTGAGCTAGCTCACTCTAACTCAGCTTAGAGGGAACACTGACTGGTGGACCTCCTGATGGCACCTGGTATTTTTGGCCACTGTGTGACAGAGTGCTGGACTGGATGGGCCTTTGGCCTGATCCAACATTGGCGTCTCTTATGTTCTTATGCCACCCTAATATGTATCACAAGTGGACAAGTGGTGGCGGCCAGTAGAAAGAAAAAATAATGGAAAGGAGAAAGGGGGAGGGAAGGGGAAAAGGGAGGCCAGCAGATCTCTCTAACTGTTGGTGTCCTCAGCCATATGCCAGTGGAACATCTCGGTCTTACAGGCTCTGTGGAATTGAACCAGGTCCCGCAGGGCCCGAGTCTCACTAGGCAGAGAGTTCCACCAGGTAGGGGCCAGGGCTGAAAAGGCTCTGGCCCTGGTCGAGGGCAGCCGGATCGTCCTGGGGCCAGGGACCACTAGTAAGTTGTCACCAGAAGAGCATAAGGCTCCCTGAGGGGTGTATAGGGAGAGGCAGTCCTTTTTAGCTCTAGGACTTCTTGCAATAAAAAAGAAAAAAATGAACTGATGGCTTATGGTTTTGAAGATTAAAAGGCAAAAGCAAAGCTTATACAGAAAGGTGATCAATTTCCCTTGGTCTGATTTGGGACTAAGGTTGTAATGAGTATGGATTCCAGCAGCAGAGAAAATCGGATATTATTCCTTCTTTCACAACTGTAGTATGTATTGTTTTGTTTTTATCTTTTTTGTAGGTGTTAACCTATTCTGTTCTTGTCTCTTTTTCCTTTCTTTTTATTATCTGTATAAAAAAATTCTAATAATTTTTTTTTAAAAAGAGAGAACTGAAGGTATCCATGGTCTGAATTACAGTTCTCTCCTGTTTCAGATGTTAGCTTGCTTCTTGATTTAGCATGCATACTTGCAAACAGAAACTTTGGCAGCTGAATGTTAACCATTTATAAAGACTGTCTACCTAACACTGTAGATTGTCTGACACACACTGGAAAATTATTAGATTTTTTTTTGTTATATTCAAAAATTAAAATAATGGTAGAGCAACACCAGTAAAATGAACAAAACAGAACAAAAAAGGGGGGGCCTTAAATTAAATTTAACAAGTATAAAGTTATTTTGGAATTACTCTGTTCTTTACCAAATAACTTAAAATATGAGACCAGGTTCTTTTAAACTTGGTAACCATTGCTGACGAAGGCAAGGAGTTAAAATTAAAAGTTAGTTTAGCTAAAACATATTGTTCCCTAACTCTGGAGTGCGACAATTATTAAAATTTTTGAAGAAAGGATATTTAAAACAATCTGTTGAATCTTTGCCTTAAAAAGTATTTCACTCAGAATTCTAAGAGAAACATTCCCAAAGTCTCCAATGTCTGTTGTATTTATTTATAACATCAGCATACTGCCACTAAAGAGACTGGCTTAAGGTGGCTAACAGTGCGATCTTAAATAGTTACACCTTTACAAATATATGGGTTTAGGATTGCAGTGTAAGACCCTTGAATATTGAGGGGTGGGGACGTTTTCTCCTCAGTTTCTCTGATCTTCTTCCAGGTCTTCTCACTTACAGCTAGGAGACTCGAAATTATTTTAGCTGTAGATAATAAGCAGATATTCTCCTCTTACTAGTATTCTCCCTTTTCCTCTTATTAGTATGTAAGTAGTATGTTACTGTTATTATTGTTCATGTGCTACCCTTTAATATCCAATTTACTATTGAATATTTTTACATATGATAGTCCTATTATAAGTCAAAGGTTGCGTTTGCACTCAGCTATACTAAATAAATAAAATTGACAATAGAAGTACTTACTAGTTAGGAATATATACTTGCTTTAGCTTGCTTTCTGCCTCAGCAGCTTTCAACCGTTTCTTAGAACAAAATACAAAAACAGAACAAGTAAGAACATCATCTATAATAATGTTAAAAGCATCTCTCTCTCAGAAGGAACCACATGACTTTTTTTCTCCTTTTTTTCTCTGTCTGACCCCCAGATGTTAAAATATATATAGATGTATTCTGACCCATTTTAGGATGCTGAGGAATTAAAAAACCTTTTGTTGCAATATGTCTGATTATGGCACACAAGAGGCTGATATTAATTCACAATACATACATTTTTTAGTTCACTTTTATGGGGAAATGGTGAAGTCAGACTATCAGGGAAGTTTCAGTATTAAACTTGGTAGGTGAAAAGGCAACAGAAATGAGGGAAACTTTGTATAACTCTATATCACAGATAGTTTGATGAAAAAATGTAGCTGTTTTGCTCTACCAACAGGTGTGTGTAACTGTTGAGAGAGATCACTTGGCTGTCACTCCTCAGACAAACAGGTACAAGTTTACCTGACACAAAACTGCTAAAGACTGTGGAGGCAGGAATATACAAAAGGTCAAATTTTCCTTCTTTAACACTTGATAGGGATCACCCCACTTTCCTAGGGGCTATTTCCCTATTTCCTAAGAGCTATTTTCCTCAGGGAAGGACTACTGGTTCCACTTTCCTATTTCAGGATCCTCTCCGACCCTTCAGTTGCCTCTCTCCACTCCCTCATTGCCAACTCCTAACTCCCAAATTAACTGCTGTTTTCCAGTTATCTCTCCAACATTCCATCAGCTGCCATTGGCCACTCTTAGGGAGAGACGGGACCTCACCCTATCACAACTGCCCATAACCAAGCATTCTTTATTTTCATGTATGTGGAAATGTTCTAAATAGTTTTCATTTACTGCACTGCTGTTTTTTTAATTTTTATAATCCACAATGACTCTTTGTGAGAAGGGCAGACCATAAATGAAATTAAGAAATAAAACATCAAACTCCACTGCAATTTCTCAGTTACAGAAAGAAGGGTAAAAGAGACAATTTACCCCACAGTGAACATAACAGTTTTCTATTTCAGCACTAAATGAAGTGGCCCGTAAAATGGGCCATTTCCACAGAGTGTTCTGCACAGGCCTCAATGCTGTTGGGAAATTCCCCACAGAATCATGGTGCATCCGGGCACCATCAGTGGTTTCCCTGGCCTTTCTCCAATCATTCACAAACCTGCTTTGCTCCAAAGTTTTGGGAAAGATCTGGATGGCTGCACTGTGGGTGGGAAAATTAGGATTTTCCAATCACATGGCAGCTGCTTCCCCTGACCCTGTCCCTGCAAAAGCCATCTCCACTTCCAGCAGGGACTTTATATTATTTTTTAAAAATCTGCTCTAGAATACTGTTATATCATTATACCACTGTAACAATGTCTGTAATAGGTTCTCTTAATTCCCAGCTTTCATCTTTTTTAAAAAAGTCTCTAGTCCCTGTCCTTGGTGGAGAAGCCTGCCATGTGGATGCCCCATTGCCACTGCAGCCGCATCAGCAATGGGAAACTACACTAGCCCATCCCTGTGTGTTGGCTTAAGACCTCTGGTCAATGAAGCTAATAAATGAAAGGAAAGGCCCATCCTTGTGTGGGAACCATCATGGTCTCAACTATACTTTTTCCAAATGTGACCCGAAGAGGTATCTATTACCATTCAGCCTCAATCCCGAAATCCCCTCCCCCATCAGTCATGAATGTCTGCAAGAAAAGGAGCACGAGTTCCAGATCATCCAAAGAGACAGTGACTCTGACCACACAGCATTAAATGTACCACCACCTAAGTTGCCCCAACAGGAGTTTAATACAAGAACATTCCTTGGAATCAAATTGCATCGCTCTTACCTGTTGGACATAGCGGTCTGTTGTTTTCCACATATAGTAATATTCAATTATGCTGGTTAAGGACTTCCATGGAAGCTTAGAACACAAAAAAGGGGTGTTATAAATCTACAAGATACACCAAGAAGAGACTAGAACTGAGCATACAATCATAGTCAGGATTGGAAAGTTTCCAAGTACAAACTAGACCTGGCCAATGTCAGGTATGAAATGAACAAAAATACTGTTGCACTTACATGTAACCGCTGTTCATTGAGTGGTCATCTGTGCAGTCACAGGTTCCCACCATTTTACCATTAAAAGGAGGAAGGAGCACCCCTTCTTCAGTCCCTCTATGCCACTGCTGGAGAAAATGTGGCATACAACATTTTAACAAAAAACAGCTCACAGCAGAACAGGATGGAGTGACCGTTCAATGAACAAAAGTTACAGGTAAGTGCAACCATGTTTTCGTCATCATGGTACTTGTACAATCCAGGCGAGCTGATTTACCAGGCAAGGAAGGCAAGTGTGAGCTCTAGTTGAATAAGGACTGAAGCAGTTATGGGTGCCAGGTGTACCTTGACCAAAGTGCAAGACAACCCATGTTGCACCAGTTGCAGGAGGCAGTCCAAGTTATCCCCTAGAGGGCAGAATAGTGAGTAGATGGCTTTCTGGCTTTCAAGATTACTTGAATAAGAACAAGAGAAGAGATTGGATTTCTACCCCGCCCTTCATTACCCAAAGGCGTCTCAGAGCAGCATACAAACTCCTTTCCCTTCCCCTCCCCACAACAGACACCCTGTGAGGTAGGTGGGGCTGAGAGAGCTCTTGACAGAAACTGCTCTTTTTCAAGAACAGCTGTGCCAGAACTATGGCTTGCCCAAGGTCATCCAGCAAGTGGAGGAGTGGGGAATCAAACCCGGTTCTCCCGGATTAGAGTCCGCGCACTTAACCCCTACACCAAACTGGCTCTTAACAGGATCTGAGAGGGGTTCCATTTGACTGTCCCCTTCCAGACACAGAGCTGCAAGAGAAGTCAGCCCAGGATCGTGGGGGCAGCAGGAGCTGAGAGTTCCATGCTGCCTCGGCTGGGGCTGGCCCCTCTTGCAGCTCGGTTTAAATAGAGCTGCAAGAGAAGTCAGCTGAGGATTGGCTGAGGTGGTGGGAGCTGAGAGCTCCCCTCCACCTCAGCTTGGCATTGGCTTCTCCTGCAGCCCAGTTTAAACTGAGCTGCATGAGAAATCAGTCCAGGTGCCAGCATAGCTTCTGATGTACAATCTCCCCCCCCCCCTCTTTTCTTCCTTAAAATCCTGGATCTGAATACAACACCAGCATTGGGATCCATGATTTTTTGGGAAACCCATCCCCCCCCCGGTTCAATATGCCCCCCCAAAAAAAACGGGGGGAGGGATTGCACACCCCTAGCCAGGATCAGTGGTTGCTATCTATAATGGCCAAAGGATAGGCCATAGAATTCAGAGAGAACCTGGGCTTTTGGACGACGTGGAGGCTCAGCTGGATCCAAACAACAACATGTGTCTGGATCCTTTGTCTTGGCCATCCTCATGACTGTCATAGGAGTACAGCCAGTTGTACTGATGATAAGGGTCAAGGTATGATTCAAAGTAGTCATGTATGGCTGCGAGAGTTGGACTATAAGGAAGGCCGAGCGCCGAAGAATACATTCTTTTGAACTATGGTGCTGGAGAAGACTCTTGGACTGCAAGAAGAACAAATCAGTCAATCCTAAAAGAAGTCAACCCTGACTGTTCCCTGGAAGGCCAGATAATGAAACTGAAGCTCAAATACTTTGGCCACCAAATGAGAAGGGAGCACTCACTGGAGAAGACCCTGATGCTGGGAAAGATTGAAGGTCAAAGAAGACGGGGACGGCAAAGGATGAGTTGGGTAGACAGTGTCATAGATGCAACAAACATGAAGTTGAGCAAACTTCAGAGGACGGCAGAAGACCGGAACGCCTGGCGTGATCTGGTCCATGGGGTCACGAAGAGTCGGACTCGACTGTGCGATTGAACAAAAAAAAAAATGATTCAAAGTCCATCAACTCTGAATGTTACAGTACTGGGTGATTTGTTTGTATCTGTGCCATGCTTTTTTTTAGCAGGTGGTTCAGAGGAGCTGAGTTTCAATGCAGCATGAGCTGATGTTGAACATTTGATGGGGTGATGATGGGCCTGAAGTTGATAGAATGGGTTCACCGGAACGGTCAGAAAGGAAGAGGCGTGAACTCATCTACCTGGAGTTTGATGAGGAGCTGGACTCAGTCAGTTATTCAAAGTAGAGCTGAAGAGGGCTTTCTCCCACAGGGTGTCTTTCATGTGGGAAGTCTGATTGGTGGCTTGCCTTAGGAGTGAACTGCTTGCGGATGGAGCACTTCAAGACACTGTGCTCTGGCCTAAGCAGTGTAGGCACAGCTGTTTCGGTCCCGCCCCAATGAGGAGAGAATAGTGATGAGGTGGCTAGTACCCCAACAAGGAGACTTGGTCTGGAAGTTCTTACCATCAAGCTTCAAGGAGGTGACTTCTCTCGGTGGCAGCAGACAAAGAGTTGAGGGAAGGTGCTCCTTCCTCCTCTTAACTCCTAAGAGGCCCACACTCAGTGTGGAGAAGGGGCAGGTTAAGCTTTTTGGAGCTTGAAAAAACACAGTCGGCCTGTGCATGCCCAGAGTCCATGTAGGACTGCACAGGTACCATGATGACGAACAAGACACTTGCTCAGGCTAGTAGAAAATGTCTTCCTCACAATCAACAAAACATGACATAGAGAAGCAACCAAACCCCAATTTGCAATAATCCAATAAACTACAGAATACTGCCCATGATTTACTGCATGTGCCTACTTACAAAATCTTGCTGGATATCAGTGAAGTCTTTTCCATATTTTTCCAGGGCTTCTTCAAAGAGATTTGCCTCCGATGCCGACCACTCCTCCATCTCATCCCTGCACAAGACAGGCCCACCCTGTGGCACAAGTGCAGAGATTGCCTTGGATATGTCATAGACATTTTTGTGCAAAGTGTCCATGGCGTGGAACTAAATGGGGAAAAAGCCCAAATATTGTTAAGCGTAAAAAAAAGTTTACAATGTGGAGAAACATTTAAAAATCAAATGGCTATCGCAGATCTTACACAGCTTGCTTCGCCAGACTCTCTCACTTGCTCAGCCATTTCATGTTTTAACCTGGGTCCTAGAATCAGAACTCTGAGCATGAGATTTCTGTGGTGAATGTCAATAAATCAAAAGTAGATTTGCAGCTGACAGAGCGAATGTTTTAAGCATGTTTTTATTTTAATTTTTAAAAAGGCCTTCTGTTTGTGTCCTTTATAAAGTTTATATCTCCGCTACCTGGCATTACATTTTATGACACGCATGGCCCGGCCCAGCAAGGTCTCATTTATGTCAGATCTGGCCCTCATAACAAATGAGTTCGACACCCCTGGCTTAAAAGAAGATAATTCTTTTCAGTGACTGTTTTTACACTGTCAAATGTATGCCTGTGAAAACCTGACTAATATTTTGGCCTTCTCTTTCTGATATTTTCAGCTGAAACAGTTAGAATTTCCTATTCATAGGTTCTGCTGATCACAGAAGCATTCCTGACTGGTTGGATTGGTTTGAGCCATAAATGAATCCAGGATATGACCATCCTGAGGCACACCAGTTGATCAGAACATCTGTATGCAGCTCTTCTCAAATGTGTTTTCTTTCTGTCACTGCAAGGTTAAAATATCCCCTGGGATACACCCAAATTTGTGAGCATGGAACAGAAACTTCAAAACCACAATGGTTAAAAATAACTTACGTGTTCTAATAAAAAAATATTTATTTACATTTGCATGCATTTCAAACTGAACTTCCACTATCAGAGAAGGATTATCACTGGTAATATTTTTTTTTACTGGCACAGGAAAACTTTCCATTTTCTCATACTAATAAATCACATCTACTTCAGAGGCCTTGAAGTATCTCAGGCACAATTACCAGAATAAAAACGCATTTAAGTGAGCAAACAAATGAGAAGGCAGGATGTTTTTATCATTGGTTTATGTCATCCCCAAATCCACAGTGTGAAGTGACCTCAAACACAGAACTTAGTTTTCCAGTTTTGTCTGAAGAAGTGTGTTTTGCACACGAAAGCTTACACTTTGAATAAAACTCAAAGGTGGCACTTGATTCAAACTTGGTTCTACAGAACTTCTCAGTTATACACACACACTCACACACATACCCATGTACACACACACACAAATATAAAGACACACATACCACCCATGTAAAACATCGCGTGGTTCCTTAGGCTTTAAACTTTGAGAACTAAAGAGAATCACATCTCCTAAACCATGCATCATTCTGATGTTCTGCTCCCTGTCTGCACCACACACAGCTAGGGTTGGAAGCTCCATGTCCGGGAGCTTCGCACACCACGATGACGTCACCCAGAAGTGACGTCATCTTGCCGGGTACACCGTCGAGGGATGCTCTAGTGTTTGGCTTTAAAACTCTATGGTACCATAGTCTGAGTCTATGGCTTAGAGGGAACACTGCATACCACCCATGTAAAACACCACGTGGTTCCTTAGGCTTTAAAATTTGAGAACTAAAGATAATCACATCTCCTAAACCATGCATCATTCTGATCTTCTGCTCCCTGTCTGCACCACACACAGCTAGGATTGCCAGGTCCCTACCTGGCATCCAGAGGGGGTTGGAAGCTCCATGTCCAGGAGCTTCGCACACCACGATGACGTCACCTGCTGCATTTCACTGAACACCTAAGACCATTTACCAATTGACAATGCTGGTGATGGCCTACAAAGCCCTTAAGGGCCTGCAGGACCATCTGTCTCCTGCTATGCTCATCGGAATGAAGCCTTCTGAAGGTGCCACCCTGCAAGTGGCTAAGATACCCAGATGCCCATTTGCACGCATCTTCTATGGCGGCCCCCACTTTGTGGGATGTTTGCTTGAGGAGGTCAGTTAGGCTCCCACTCTTCTACAATTTCACAGAATATACAAAACAAAAATGTTCAGGAGAGCATTTTTTTTTAAGGGGACTGTAATGGAATGGTTCAGGAGGTCACTTTTACAAAGGAATAGGATTAAAGTCTATTGCAATGCTTTTACTGTAGGGTATCACCTTGCTTTTACTGCATTGTCTTCCACCTTTGTAACCCAGTTTCTGTATTATGGTATGTCATGACTTAGACAGGTTTGCTTGCTTGTTTGTTTGTTTGCATTGTTTTCTAGCTCTGTAATCCTAGTCCTACTGCACTGATCATTGGATGTTTTACCCTACCTGATCAATCTGCGTTTTATGTTTTATAATCCACCTTGAGTCTCCAGAAGAAAGGCAGGCTATAAATGAAGTACACAAAGAAACTCTTACCAGCGTGATATCTCTAGAAGCCGCTGCAGCACTCATGTGTAAACTGGGCTGCCGAACGGAACTACTGCAATCTAGAGCACGAGCAAATGTGCCAACAGATCTGAGAAGAAAGCAGAATCAATTTTCTATGCAAGAGCAAAACCCAGAGACGAGATCTGCAAAGAAAACATGTCTTTAGCAAAAACAAGACTGCTCTTCGTGTTCCTTCAAGTAACTTATTTCCGGCAGAAAGAGGATTTCTTCTTCCCTCTAGAACATAATCTTCAGTACATAAACTGGGTCTGTCCTAAGTATTCTTCTATGCTTGTGAAAGTTGCACAATTCTCTGTTTACCAAAACCCATTCACTTCAAAAGCATCCTGACCAGTCTTTCTGATGCGCTTCTCTAGAGTCATGTTCTCTACCTCTGCCACATGTTCTGAAGCTGGAGTTCTGCCAGGTCAGGATCCTTCCTGGGGGCTTCCTCATGAAGCAAACTGGATCTTGCACCTCCTGACTGCTTATATAAGCAGCTGGTTAGTAGACTATATAGAATAAAATGCACATGTTCCTTGAAAGCTCCTGGAACTCTAGACTGCCAGTCATATGGCACTCAGATTTAGCTGAGACTCCTGTCACATTCAGCATCCCCGGGCAGTCATCTCCATGGAAATAATGGCTGGTATATGCAGGGAACTGGAGGTACCAAGGGTCATTCAGGGTCTAATCTTTGCTCATTCACTAGGCCAACTCCTTGACACTGTTCCTCGTAAGCTACTTAACCTGATGTGTGACCTGAACCTGGAAGAGAAGCAGCAATCTGTAAGGGCGTAGCATGGAAACCAGCCTGCAGAATTACCTCCTGGCACAAAATCAGCATTTCCAAAAAGTCGTGCCAAGGTCATCAGTTCTTTGTGTTGTTTCCATAGAACTGTTTTATGAGTTGTTGGGTCTTCTGACCTCTTCTGGGATCAAGATATATACTATTTTTGGTTTCTATTTTCATTCTCACGTGCTGAAAATGCTTGCTGGTTATTAAGATGCCTTTTCCAACTGATCAAAGACCTGCAATCCTTCCTTTGTCCAGCTATTAGCCATTTCAAATGGAAGATTTCTCTGGTGTCCCCATTTTTACGGAAACCGTTTAAAAAACGAAGTAACCCCCCAAATGAATGCTGGTTTGCCAGCACTGGATCTATCAACTCTATTTTCAGGAAGTCATGAATGGTAGAGAGGGAAAAACAGGTTGCTTACCTGTAACTGGTGATCTTCGAGTGGTCATCTGTGCATTCACACCCATGGGATCTAGTGCGCAC